CAGCAGGATTCTCATTTGCACCCATTCTAATAGTGCTGCTGATCTCTACATAAAGGATTATTTACATCCATATGTAGAAGCAGGCAATCCCCAGGCAAGACCTCTCAGGTATTCTTTTAAGGCTTATTATGTCTCTGTATCATACTTTATTATTCTTAAGAAAAGGTGTCTATAAAGATTTTAGTAACTTTGAGAAAACCAAAATCTTTAACTGTGCGTTGGCATTTGGAGGTTATGCCTTTTGAAGAAACCATTTAAATTAAGGAAAAATTTAAAAATCTTTGACCATTCATTTCTTAAACATTAAGTAAAGAGAAAGACATCCTTTTTTAAGTTTTGTATGTAAAAAATGTGGTTACGATCTGAGCCGATTTTGATGTGTTCCTCTAAAAGCTACTATATATAAATTTATGATTAAATCAATTTTAATTAAAATTCTAGCATATTTTGCATGGCAGAGTAGTCATGCAGTGATAGTTGTTTATGGAAATAAAATTTTGACTGTGATCATGCAGGTAATTTCATAGACGCTACACATTTAGAGAAGCATGAAATTGAAGTGATTTCTGCAGCACGGTGTAACCGACTGGTACTTATAGCTCTTTGCTATCATTTAAGAGTTAAAGAAAATTCTAGGTTAATACAGGTCTACTAAGTGTCTATGGATATGAAATGTTCTTAGATATAGGGTTGTGGGGGAATAAAATCCTTTTCTTCAGAAAACAATAAAGAACCATTAAATGGTTATTATACCATTTGCTCTCATTGTTATATGAATTAATGTTTAGTTTTGCCATTTTACAAACTAATATGTCATGCCCTATGTTGTTCAAATACAATTATTGTTTAAAAATTAATTTCTAACCACACTTTTGAATCATAATTCACTAACTTTTTCTTTCTAGTTGAGCCTAGGCATGGGAAAATGAGGTTACGCTATTTAATTCTTTAATAACCATAAGCAAAGCCATTCGAATGATTTTGCAATTGCATTAAAAAGAACAAAAGAGGAAAAAGCGGCATGGCCTGTTGACACAGGTTTTTATGCCATACTCTGTTTCTACTCTGAAGACAAATTAGAGGAGAAATAAGTATTTTAAGTAGAACTCAGTTTTATTTGATAAGAAAATATCACATGTATACAGTCACTATAAATGAAAATGTGATACTTACCAATGGATAAATTCATCGAAAACTAGTTTGCTTCAGATTCTAATCTTTTTTAGCCCCTAAGTGAAATTGAGTTAGCTAGTAGCATTTTTGCTATGAGTGTTCTTACTTCAGTGTCGATAAGATGTTTTATTGTTGGTAGAGCTTGTGTGTGTGCTTATGTTTGCGTATGTATGTTATGTAGGAACTGTGACAATCTCATTTATCATTGTACTTGGCTTGGAAACAGTGGAGTGAAGACCCCTCAAAGCTTGGTTGACCTAGCATAGGTCATTTGACATTTGGGGCAGGAGAGCTGTGGTTGATACACACTGAACTCCATTATTTGGCTAGCATTATGTTTAGCTTTTCCCATGTAAAATTATGTTTTGGGCGTTACAATCCAACATGTCGTGCATCTAAATATGGAGGATAAGAAGTTATGTTCCAGTAGGGTCTATGTATAGTTGTAGTGGCCCAAATACAGAAACTTGCCCTCTAGTAGAAAATATTTGAATTTAGTTAAATACAAATTTCATGTTATTTCATTTAATAAGTGGAATAAAATAAGAAAAGACTTGGGCCTTTATGTGGTGCTGTATTTTCGCCATAGTTTTCTGTTCAGGAAAGATGTTAACTTGTGAATGTATTTCCTAGGAGGGTTAATACATTGAAATGTTAGGATTTATTAGCACCATCTATTATTATATTAACTGAGATTAATTTATAATTTTCCTAATGGACAACAAATATGAGTGGTATGGGAGATGCAGTAGAGAAAATTAGCATGGCTGAGCGCTCTGGGGAGATCAGCTTTATGTGAATTGTCCCAGAACGCAGGGGAAAGAACACAAAGAGGGCCCTAAGTGTCCGCATGTGACCTTGAAGATTTGTTGTCTCTGTGGAATAAGAGTGATGATGACATGTTTACCTTCCCACACTGTAGCTTAGAGTGGGCCCTAGTAAACGTGACAAAGTAGGAAAATAGCCATAAACATTAAATAGTTAAAACAGTAAATATGTTTAAATATGCACACTTGTCGTTAAAATGTATAAAATTCTGTTAGTTGCCAGGAGTTGAGCTTAACTTATTTTGGGATGGAGGTTTTAGAATCCATTTTAATTATACTTAGTTTCAGTTTTTACTTCTTACTTTATTAGAATTAGAAGATTTTAAAATGGAATAGAGAGGAAAACATAGTTTCTGTGTATGCTTCTGAAAATCAGTAGCTGATTCTGGCAGAGTTATCACTTATTAGATAAAGGCTATCTGTGGAGAAAGTGTACATTTACTGTTTTCTGGACAAACAGAAGGTATATGTTATTTTATAAAGATCTTTAAATAAATAAATAATGTCTTTCTGATTCTGTAGTATCTTATGTAATAATATTTTGGGGGTGTTCATTGCATATGAATTCAATACATGAATAAAATTTCAGAGAATTAAAATGATATATTACCAGACGGTCTTCTGTTTTAAATTTCATTATAATTCATGTGGGGCATGTGGACAGTTTATTTCTAGAAATATGTAAATTACTTATTTGGTGTCACCTTTTATACCATGGACTTGAAAGTGTCAATTCTCCAGTTTTGAAAAATGTTGTTGGATGTGTTTTAAGTAATCTTATAGACAGTGTCTACCTTAAATGTTGCACAAAATGAAAGTACTGAGAAAACATTTAAGTCTTTTTTAAGTCAGCACTAGACTATTATATTTTTAAGGGAATGGGCCTAATGATCAAACTTTGTATTCTAACTAATTTCATCTTGAGTTAGCTTTCCAAGGTAACTACAAAAAAGTCAGTAATGAGGCTTAGAACTTCAATTTCTATTTTTTCTTTGAGAAAGAAGCAGTGCCTGGAGTTAGATTTGATAAGTAATTTGAAAAATGAATTTTTCAGTTTTATGATGAAATGTTCATTTAAGAAAATATGGGAATCCGCATGAAGAATAAAAATTATCTATAACCTTACCAGTCAGAGATAAATACTGCTAACATTTTACAGTTTAATTTCTAGTCATTTATATGCTTAAATACACACACGTAAGTTACTATTAATGGAATCATAATTTGTAAATACTTTTTCAGATAATTTGTAAAATGAGATTTTTCATATATTTAAAAGTAAATTCTGCTTTGCTGATTTGATTAAATATTTTTTTTATTAAAACCTAAAACATGTTTAAGATTTTTACATCTTTTAGGAGTGGTGTTGGTTACTTTCACAGTCCTTCCTATCATAATAATGCTTTTAAAATACATAACTTTTCTCTGTTACAATTTATTTATAAATTAGGGACATTTATTAAATGCTTTTTTTTTTTTTTTTTTTTTTTTTTTTTTTTGCTTTGCTTAGAAAAAGACAATAACCAGTAATTTTTTTTTTTTTTTTTTTTTTTTTTTTTGCTTTGCTTTGCTTAGAAAAAGACAATAACCAGTTTTCATTGTTTCCTGGAGGGTTAGAACACATTGTACAAGACCGTGAGGTTAGGGCTTGTGCATATGTGACATTTGAGCTGCCTTTGAAACGTTCTAGAGGAGACAGGTGTCAAGTAAATAGTTGAACATGCATCTTGGAGCTCAGAGGTGAGGTCTTGGCTGGAGAGAGAAGAATGTGTGAGTCATCAGGGTATTGGTGGTAATTGAAGCCATGGGCCTGGGATGAGATTGTCAGGTGAGAGGACAGAGCTTGATGAGAGCACTAAAGGCTAAGCCTTAAGGAACCAGCTTAGAGAGGTGGAAGGAAAGCAGGGAGCGGTTGAGTTATGGCAGCTGAGGGAGAGAATATTTCAAGGAGGGAGCAACCACAGAGCCGGATGCTGCTAATAAGTAACTTGATGGGCCCGGAAAATGTCCAAACGATTTAGTGACATGGAAGTTTATGTCCCTTGATTGGACCCTCACAATCTCCTAAGTTCTTTGCTGTTTCACTGGTTGCTGCTTCCCAGTCTCCTTTCCTGTGTCCCTCCATTCCCCAGCCTCTACATGTGGAAGTGGTCCATCAGCCATTCTTCCAACTAGTTTCCTTTTTATCTACACTTACTCTCCAGGTGAGCTCTTCTAGTCTCAGGGTTTAAGTATGACCTCAGTTGTATATTTCTTGTCTTAGGCATTCTTCTGAACTCCACACTTATAAATACCTCTGCTTACTGGGTATCTCTACTTGGATGTCTACTACTAAATATGTCCAAAACTGAATTCTCAATTCCCACCCCAAATTTATTCCTCCCTATCACCAGTACTGCCACTCATCCAGTTTCAAAGCCATGGAACATCCTTTCTCTTAAATTCCACATCTAGTATATCAGTAAATTCTGTCAGCATTACTCTCAAAATATGCAGTGATCTGACCATTTTCACATCTCTACTGTTACCACCCTGGTTCAAGCTATCATTTTTTCTTGTCCGGATCCTTACAGCGGCCTCCTAATGGGTCTCCTTGATATTGCCCCCTCCCCCTGCCTCTCTCCCAGTCCCTGGTGTGATGGAGCAGCTGGTACTGGTTTGTGAGAGCCAATCATGTGCGTGTCTTCCCAAGTTCATGTGAAATTGGCCATGATTGTAGGTTTTATACCCCAGAAACCAGCAAACACTGCAGATCAGGTCACCCCTCCCCCCCCCGAAGGCTGATTGTTCAACATTTACCACCACACCACTGTCCAGCCCTCTTCCTGCCTCCAAAACTGTGTATTCTGTCCAGAGAAACAGAGGGGTCCTTTAGCAACCTAAGGCATGTCTCATGACATGTGCCCTGTTACAACTCTCTGATGGCTTTCCATTGAAGTCAGAATAAATCCAAAGTCTTTATGAAAGTTTGCAAGCCATGTGACTTGCCTCTGTGCTGGACCATAGTAGATGCCCAGCAGATCTTTGTGATGTGGGTGGGTTAGGGATGGGGGGAGGTGGGTGGGTGGATGGATGAGTTGTTTCTGTACCATCTTAGTAATCTGTTGTATGAGTCCTATTTCTGTTTTTCTTTTGCAATTAATAGAAGAGATTCTCTTTCTTAAGATTTTCTGATGGTCCAAAATTTAAATTTATTTTTAAATTTCCAGATCTTTAGATAGAGGTCTATTTAAATATAGGTATAAGAATATATTCTAAAGTGAAATGCAAGTAACTTTTAAATTTCTCTTGTAAGTTCGCAATTCACTATATTTTATTAGCATAGATAATTAAAATATAAGTATATTTTTGTAAGAATATTCTAGGAAAAATAATAATTCCCAAATGGGAATGTTTTGAAGTAAAAAAACTAATGCTTATGAAACTCTGTGTGTCATTCTGTTGTAAGATTATTCTGAACACTTAAAAATAATTAGATATTTATCTTATCATAGTGTATATACTTTCTGCTTGATTCATTTTTTGGTGGGGGGGAGTTACAGTTGTATGTTAAATTCTAATCCAGTAGAGTGTTAACAGTTACCAGACTCATTTGTTAATTTCCAGGTATTGTAGTCTTAACATCATAATGTCGATATTTTGATAATCAGGTACTGGTAAGATGTTAATAAGTATAAATAGGAAATGTTATCTTCTTTTATAGGGTATATTTCAGAAATCGCTGGGTAAAGACTGTCCACCCAGTTGTGCATCAGTACTGTTTGATCTCAAGCGCACATTCCACCTTTCAGATGCCACAGAAAGAAGATATTCTTAAACACCGAGTGGTTGTTGTTACATTGAATACTTCCCAGTACCTCTGTCAGTTGGACCTTGAACCTGGTATGCTGACTCAAGACACAGAAAGGGTGCCTGAATGCACAGGGCTCTGCATTCAGTTTAGATCAGGGGTTGGCCTGTGGGCCGTATCTGGCCTACTGTCTGTTTTTGTAAATCACGTTTTATTGGATGGAACACAATCATGCCCATTTATTTACCTATATTTTCTGTGGATTCTTTTGAGTAGTTGAGTAGTTCAGCTGAGTTGAGTAGTTGCGACAGAGATTGTATGGCCAAAAAAACCTAAAATGTGTACTGTTTGGCCCTTCACACACACAAAATTTATCAACCCCTAGTTTAGACATTTTAGTGACTGCTACTCTATTTTTTCTCTAATTGATCAGATGGTATTTACTATTGATCATGTGAAAAATTCAAATTTGGACAGTGTTGGTTTTTTTACAGTTTTCTCAAGTTTTTAATTTTAAAATAGTTTTCCATTAATACAGTGTAGAGACAACAATCATGATAGGTTTTTTTATGACATACTATTAAGATTATTTAAGTACAGGAACTATGTAAAATCAAACTAATATTATACAAAGTATAGACAGATGGTGACAAGAAGTTCTGATAAATATGGCAGAACTTAACCATCAAAATGTGGTATCACTTTAAGGTAGTTGCTTTGGAAGAATATTCATTTATTACCGCTTTATTATAATTGTTGACATTGGTCAACGCTTTTTTGCTCTCTCCTTTTGGAATTGCTTTCAGAGCCAGTGACAAATTCTTTAAGTCTCTGGAAGGTAGAGACAGTTCTCTTCACCTTGTATTCCTGGCACTTGGCCCAGGGTATAGAAACCTGGAGGCCCTTGATAAACCTCTGTTTATCTTAAAGAATGAACAGTGGCCAAACTTTCTTTTTTGAGGGTAGAGTTAATTTTAGAAAAGCTTCAAAATCTTTCTGAGGCGTATCTGGTAAATAAGGTAGGTTATCAAACGGAGCAATACCATTAGGGGTTGGAAAAAAAAAGAGAGAGAGACGTGCCTCTCATGTAATGAGACTTATTTTTCTTGTGCACGCAGCTCATAGCTGGCTGGTGAGGGCAGTTACAAAAGCAGAGTTTCAAAAATGTTTTGAACAGTGGCTGCATCCATTGGAATGAGTTATATTTCCTCTCAACTGACTTCTTTGATGGAACAACACTTATTTGCAATGTAAATTTTGGTATGTTTATTTAACAATCAGTCTCATTACTTCATGATTATACTCTGCATATTTGCCACGTAAATTCAATACCCAAGCCTCCGAAACAGTATAGTTTTGAGGAAGAGTAAAGAATGGCTTTGAAGAGCAAGAGTGTAGAACATTTATTGCAAGTCAGTGATCTGCTTTGTTTTAGGCATTGTTTATACTTTATTTAATTCTCATATCAACTCTGTGGAGGGTTATTTTACAGCTAAGACAACCAAGGCTCAGGCTAAATCAGTTTGACTAATTCAGGTTTCTTTTACTAGCTTAAGCAACAGTATAACAATTTCATGATTTATTCAGTTCCTGATTTAAGCCTAGCTCTATTTAATTAAAATGTTATCTAATGAAAACAGATTTTTTTCACTAGTCTCAGTTTTTTCCAATTTGATCCTATAATTATATGGTCATCTTCCTTAATTAGTCTTGTAGAACAAAAAGCACAAATTCTCCTCACCAGGGAGAAAAATGCATGTGTCCAAATCATGCTTGGGCCACTGTCATTAAATAGACAACAGTTATTGATACTTGTACTGTCAACATAGCCATTTGTTTGAATGGACCGTGATGATGGTGGTGATGGTGGTGGTGGTGGCGGTTATTACTGCCAGTCAGTAAAGTTTAGGAAGTTCCCAACCTAGAAACAAGTTGCATTAGGAAGTTGTATCAACAGATTGTTTGGAACTTGTTGCTATCCATAGAAATAGAGGTTAGGTTCTTGGGCCAACTCACAGGAGGCTAATTAATCTAGAGAGTTACAACTGGTCATTCTGTTGAGAAGCTACTTTGTGTTCTTTGCTGTGCTAGTTAGAACAGGGCCCCCCCCCCCCACCTCAGTGAGCTATAGCCATAGGGGGCAACATTTACTTCTACACATTGAGACAGCAAGATTTTTCTTCTGTCTCCTCTTTTAGGGGCAAAGAGGCTTTTCCTCCTTTCTGTACACAGATTCCTGTGCCTCAGTGTGAGTGGCAGCAGTAACCCAGACGTGGGTGTTTGCATCTGGGGGATATTTGATAATGTACATTTTTGATACTTGTGTCACTTTTGTTTTTTTTCTTTTTCAGACTGGTGATAGTTTTACAGCCAGGATAGGGTCTTAGGCTAAAACATTGTATATAATCTGTACGCGCGCGCGCGCGCGCACACACACACACACACACACACACACACACACAATAAACCTAAATAATCAAAATAGTGAATTTGCTAACAGATAACCTTTGATTTTGGTCAAAGTTAGATTATCACTTTCTCCTTTATGTTAGATTTTGGGTATGATTTTCTTTACTTTAATGTCTAATGTATGTGTTTAAGCTAAAGTTACTTATAAACTACCATTGTTTTATTTTTGGTGTTTTAGCAAATAAATAGTGAAAGGATTTTGGGCCTATCACTGTTTTGTTGCCAGCTTTTCTTTGTGGTGAAAAGCTGCTACCTTGTACTTTTAAAGTCTTTTTTATGCGTCCTGATTTAACTGTTAGTCTTGGGGCCATTAGTACCAGATGCCATTTACATATCTAGTGTTGAGTAAAATAGTTATTCCTTTCAACTTCTATTTTTTAAATAGTGATTTAAATATATGATCTTCTAAATTGAGGACTGGCATTAAAAGTACTCACAGCTCTTAAATCAGGACACTAAACTCTTTCCTTAAAAGAAAGACACTACTCCTCCCTTTATCACTGCTTTAATATGCGGTCCTGTGTTTATACTGTACTTTGCAGGGTTTTTTACGCACGTTCTATTAGATGAGGCTGCCCAGGCCATGGAGTGTGAAACCATTATGCCCCTAGCATTAGCAACTAAGGACACACGGGTTGTCCTGGCTGGTGACCACATGCAGGTGAGTGCCCTCTGAGTCACCATGTTGAAAGAAACTTCTGTTATATTTTGATGTTTAATATTTTGTTTTCTAAAACAGCCTATGAAATTGTGCCATGCATATCAGTTTAAGTACTTTAGATATTTCTGTACTAATAGTGGAAAATGTTGGTGTTTCTGAAGGAAAATTGCTACCCCCCAACCCCCGCCCCACTTTTCTTCCTTCTTTGGATAGAGAGTGGAATGAATGAGTCTATCAGTGTTCTAATTGTCATGTTTATTAATTTGAAGTTCCCGTTCTCTGTAGTATGAATAATTGATTCTTACTTTTCTTTATCAAATAAATTTAAATTATCCTTCTTACGATTCCCCAGTTCCTGTCCCCAACATTTGTTTTCCTGAAGGGTTAACTTTTCATTATCATGGGAAACAAAGTGCCTAATTAAAAATAATAGCCAAAATCTCAAAGAACTTGTCTGATCTTAATACCGATGTATGAAAGAAAATTACAGTTTTTCTATCAAAATATCAATTTTGCAAAGTTTCAGTTTGAGGTTCTTTCTCTTTTGTCACAGTTGGTTGAGATTGAACCTACACAGTGTTGTAGCTATCCATTTAGGAAAGAGTTGAAGGTAGAGGGGCAAGTTCTGTTTTTGTTTCTTTGCCAGAAGTTTAATTTTGTTCTTAGCATCAAAGTTGTAATCAAGGATGATGGCTCCTTACACTTCACGAGATAAAGATGGCTTTTTTGCTAATTATTAAAAATAAGTGTTTTAGTCATAGGCGGTGTATCCTGCTAGCTCACTGTTTAAAATAGTTGCTTAATTTTAGTGAGACAGTTGATTGACTCCCCCAATGATGCAGTGGGTTGCATCCCTAAAATTACTAAGGTAGTAGCTATTTATTATTAAGTTGGAAGAGTCCTTTTTTTTTTTTTTTGCGGTACGAGGGCCTCTCACTGTTGTGGCCTCTCCCATTGCGGAGCACAGGCTCCGGACGCCCAGAGGCGTAGGCTCAGCGGCCATGGCTCACGGGCCCAGCCGCTCCGCGGCATGTGGGGTCTTCCCGGACAGGGGCACGAACCCGTGTCCCCTGCATCGGCAGGTGGACTCAACCACTGCGCCACCAGGGAAGCCCAGAAGAGTCCTTTATTAACCTATGTGTAGAAACTCTAGGTTAGTGTTGGCATGCTGAAACGAAAATTTAGCCTCATTCTATATAGTAGTAAAATTGTTCCTAGAAAAATATGTTTGACTCTGCTTATTCCAGCATTCAGCATGTTGAGGTTTAGTACATCAGAAGTTTCAGCATGGTGGATTTTTTTTTAAAGTATGTTAAAAAAAATGCTACTTGTATATTTAGTTAAATTCTCTCCATGTGTCTCTCTGTTACAGCTCAGCCCTTTCGTTTACAGTGAGTTTGCCAGGGAAAGAAACCTTCACGTTTCACTGCTTGACCGGCTCTATGAGCATTACCCTGCCGAGTTTCCCTGCAGGATCCTCCTGTGTGAGAACTACCGCTCCCACGAAGCTATCATCAAGTAGGTGTGAGCTGCCCCTCTGTCACACTTTGTGTGGTCCGGTGGAAGGGGACTCAGAACAGCACTGTTCCTAGGGACAGATTATTCCCAGCAGAGTTACAAGGTGTCCCTAGTGTTGGAAATTATGTTTAATTTTATGTCTGTGAAAGTACACCTCAAAAGTCAGCTGTAATTTATTATAGTAGGGCAGTTCTGGAAACAAAAACTTTAGGTTCTACTAGCTATAAACATATTTTTCTGTGACTAAATATATAATGTCTATGTAAAACTACATGATGTAATAAACAAATATGTTGACAAGCCACATAATGGTTTGCGTATGTGTGTCTGTCTGTGTTATACAAGGAGTCTATTTTAAAAGAAAGGAAGGGTGGGAGGGAGGAAGGAAAGAAAACCATGAAACTTAGTAATAAAGTTTTAAAAGGTCTCTATTAAATATAGTATGCATCTATACAAGTAAAAGTATCATAAATGGTAGCCCAGTGAATAGTCACAAACCAAACGTACCCCTCAACTGGCATCCAGACCAAAAAACAGAATGTTCCCAGCACCCTGGGAAGCCCCTTTGTGCTGCGTTCCTGTCACTGTCACCACCAAAATCTTAGGATTTTTTCAAGTTTAGTATAACTTAATAATATTGATTATGGCGGTCATGTGAAACTAATTTTTAGGTTTCTCTGAAAGCAGTAGGAGAGATATAAAAATAAGTTTAGATTTAAATATGGCTTTTATCAATATCTCGAAATGTGATTCCTCTTTTATCGTTGCCAGTCATTTGCTACAGTCAGTGATGAATCGAGTACTACGTAGTATCTTCATTAGTAGAGTATTCATTTTACAGTTGAAGACTGGAATACCCTTCAGTTGTGTGTATTGTTTCAGTGTCTATAGATCTTTGTGTTTGCATAAGTATATGATCCACATAAATAAAAATATACATTTAAAAAAATTTAGTATAGAAAACCATAACAGCTAGCAAATTTCCTCATGAAACAAGAGTTTCATCTAGTACTGAACTGTCGTCATTTCTTCCTTTTCTCTCTATGTTCTGGCTTCATGCCTTCCCCAGATCAATTCATTTATCAGTGGTATACCAGGAGCCCACTGTGTTTTCATTGCTGTGGCTAATTTTGGTGAAAACCTTGGCATCATGGGCATTAGATGTTTGGATTAAAATTAATCATGGGCATAAAGCAACGTGAGATTTGACTGGTAATTTTTTCTTATGGGTAAAATTAATTTTGATGATAGGTTACTTTTTATTTATTTATTTATTTCGGTCTTTTTCTGCAGTTACACCTCTGAGCTCTTCTATGAGGGCAAACTGATGGCCAGTGGAAAGCAGCCAGCACACAAGGATTTCTACCCACTAACCTTCTTTACAGCACGAGGGGAAGATGTACAAGAGAAAAATAGCACAGCTTTTTATAATAATGCAGAGGTACCTTAGTCCTTTTTGCAAATTGTTGACATTTTTGCAGTTATATATATAGTCTGGTCTTATTAAGCATTTATTTAAAATTTTGGGTTGATATTTTATTGTGTGTTGACTTCATTTACATGAAAATAGTATGGAAGTTTGTTCTTTCTTGTGTAACATGGATTTGTTAAGATGAATCTGCCATGGGAAACAAAAACTTTGATTTACATTTTGCCTTATGCCAAAATGCAGAACCTCATTTAAAAGAAGCCATCTAAAATGGACTGTGGTCACAATTTATAGTGCACACTCCAATGAGGCATCGTTTTACATGAGTGAAAAGACTTGACTTGTGGAATCCTGTGCTCCAGGGGGTCACACAGACCCACATGACGATGGTGCTAACCCATTATGTGCTGCAACTTGTGTGGTTCTCTCAGAGTTTCTGACTTTTTAAGTTCAGAGAAAATGTGGGAAGTATGAGGGGTCAGATCAGGTAGCAAACAAAAAGCTGTGAAGTCTTTAGGGGCCAGCAGGCCAGAGAACCTGAGGTTTGGTTCTGGCTGTCACAAGGGAGTGGAGTTCTGGACTTAAGGAAACCCAGGGGAGGGTGTGTGCATGGTTGGTCATTAGAAGAATGATTCGTGATATGTGATCTCCATCTCCCTTTCTTCCCTTGAGTCCTGTGCTTTACTCATTTTATTTATAAAAAAAAAAAATAATGCCATTTATTAAGTAATAGTAATTCATCTTTCCATTGAAAAATTGGTCAGAGGCCTGTAGTTAGAAGTCAGTACAAGAAAATTGACAGTACCTACTTGATAAAATCCTAGCCAAAAGTAAAGAACCTTAACATTTTAATTAGTCTGTGCCAATTAATTTTAGGAAAAGGTAAACTTTCCTTTACCTGTTTGAAATATTGACAAATAACTCTAGGGTTTCCTTTATTACTTTTGCACTCAGGTTGGAAACTGCTGGCTGGAAAATCAGTTAAGAAGAGAAAGGAGAATAAATATACTGTCTTTTATAATTAACCATGTAATTACCTTTAGTAGTATGCTTTGTGTGAATTCAAATTACTATCTGGTGTCACTTGCTTTCAGCCTGATGAATTTCTCTTAGTGTTTCTTTTAGGGCAGGTCTGCTAGTAAAGAATTCTTTCAGTTTTTGTTTTTTTCTGGGAATGTCTTTATTTTGCCTTCATTTTTGAAAAGTAGTTTTGCTGGATATTAGATTATTGAGTTATTTCTTTCAGCACACTGAAATAGGCTTTCCTACTGCTTTATCGCCCTCATTGTTTCTGATGAGCAGTCATCTGTTAATCTTACTGGAGTTCTTTGTAAGTGACGAGTTGTTCTCTTGTTGCTGTTATCAAGATTTTGTTTTTGTCTGTGACTTCTACCGTGTTGACTATGGTACGAGCAAAGGAGACTGCTTGCTTCACCCACTGTCCCACGCAGGCCCTCCCTGTGCAGCAGGAGATGGGGAAGGGGTATAGGTGCCACCCAGGTGCTGCCAGCTGCTCATGGCCTCCTGCTGCACCTTGCTGGGGAAAACGAGATCTCTGATGTTCATCCACTGCTGTAACCGCCTGGAGTAGCTCTTTCACCCCAGGGAGCTGGAGCAGGTGGGAGCTGCCCCTCGGCTGCTGGGACAGTCCTGTGAAGACAGGGCTGCGGGAGAGCGGGGCAGTCCCAGCCCTCCCCTCTTCTTCCCGACTTCCTGTAGATTTCGTTGAAACAGTGCTTCTCAGTTTCTTGGAAGCTCTTTGATCAATCTCCAGAGACTTTGAATGACTATCTGTTGGCCGTGACCAGCTTCATAGATGTCTATCTGGGAGAGGGCTTTCCCCAAGCTCCTCATACCATCCCAAGACTGCGTATTTTGACTACAGTTTTATGCTGCCTACTATATTAGGGGTAACAGGGGGACGAAGTGGAGAAATGGTTATGTGTTGCTTGTTCCTTATGGGTGAGAGCGCCATGTTTTCAATCCAGTTGACTCATCGGAACCCTTGGACGGTCTGGGTAGTTGTTTCACTTGCTGTTATTTCATTATAACAACAGGATGACTAGAGTCTATTCCTCTGTCATTCATTGAATTTATATGTGGAAGTGGGAACTGCATCCTGGCCATTAATCCTCGAGTTCTTAAAAGGAATAAAACTATCAAATTTTTGTGTATTTACTATTATAAATTTAAGTAGATATTACTAACAAATAGTAAATAAATAATGTATTTAAAAGACATTAAAAATTTTCTCCTTCCTCTCTCTGCCCCTGGACTCTTGCCTGACCCTCTATTGAGCTTGCCTTATAATACGTATTTTAAATTAGGAATCTATTTTCTAAATATACAGTAATCTCTTCACAGGCAAGGAGCGTGTTTTAGTAATCATTTTGTCCCCTACTGTGCCAAGCATCAACACTATTTGTTTGATGAATTCATCGAATCAAAGTAGATTAAACTGCACTAAAAGTTCTACTCTAATTCACTAAGTGGGGTCCAGAGAATCCAGATGGTAAAATATGGGCTTACTTCACTGCAAGGTTAATGACAGGGCTTGGGCAGAGTTGTACCATGAGAAGGCAGTGAACTCTGAAAGTCTGTCCTGAGGTCCAGATTTGCCCCAGTCCCAGCTGCGGTTTGCTGCCAGCTGTTGGCTGTTCTGTTTACTTATATCCACGGGGAGAGGAGGAAAGGTAGCCCTCGCACTGCCGAGACGTTGGCGGCGCTGACTCTAGGGCTCTCCTAATGGGTTTCATCGGCCTGAGCTACAGAGTGGACTGAGAAATACTGGGAACGTGGGGTTGCCGGTCCCACACGCCTGTCTCTAAACAGGAGCCCGAACCTGTCCCCATTTGAGAAGGGGGGCCAGGTAAGGGGTGGGGCCAATGGCCAGTTACATCGTCTCCGATTTTCACGTTTTCACTGGGTGCACTATTGTAGAGATTTACTGCTTGAAATGTAAACAAAAATGTGTTCACGTCAGCAAAGCATTATTCCTGGTTTGAGGTGGTTTTAAAACGACATTTGCTAAAATGGAATCCTTTGTACATCGATTTCAGTTACCGTATTCTTTTCTCCAAGCACTTGTATAACTTTAATATGTATACATGTACGTTTGTTTAAAGGTCTTTGAAGTGGTGGAGCGTGTGGAAGAGTTAAGAAGGAAGTGGCCAGTAGCGTGGGGGAAGTTAGATGACGGCAGCATTGGTGTGGTGACTCCGTATGCCGACCAGGTGTTCAGGATACGCGCTGAACTTCGAAAAAAGAGATTATCTGATGTTAACGTCGAAAGGGTGCTAAATGTTCAAGGTAACTATTAATGGAAATGAATTAAGTTATTCAAATGGTTAGATCTTAAAGTGTGTGCACATTTGATTTTTAGTTTTCAAGATCTCTTTTCTGGACAAGCAATTATGTATTCATTTCATACCAAGTTCTTTAATGCCAGATTTGGCAATTCAAGGTCGAGCTCATTTACATGTTCGTTAAATTTCTGTATCCAAATAAAAGAAGCATCAACCAAGGGACGTCCTCCGTGACTGTAACTACAGATGTCTGGATGCTATAGTTGCAGTCGCAGTAGCATGCAACACCTGTTGTTATAATGTATCTGAGAACTAATTTGTTTATAAGGATTTTTAAAAGCTTGTGCCTGTCAAGCAAATTTTTAAAGGCATAGCTTGTTCTTCATCTGGATTTTCCTAAGTGAATAAAGCAACTCTTTTAAATTTTCATGTAATTAGTTGCTGTGAAATTTGTGTGTTTAAGTAAGTGAAGCAACACTATAATGTGAGTGCCAGAAAAGCCCAGTACAATCTGAGGTTTCATGGTAATATACAATAATAAGAGTAATACAATTTCTAGATCATGGGGAAAAAAAATAGCTCCAGTATACCATGCATTCAGATCACGCAGAATTTGGGTGTGCATTTTAGAAAGAATATTACTAATAAACTAGGAAGCGTCCAAAGACGACCTAGCATAGTTAGTGGTCTAGAAACTGCCCTGTGGAGTCAGAAATGGTTGAAGGAACTAGGATTGTTTGGCCTGGAGAAGAGAGAACTAAGAATTGACACTAGAACTGTATTTGCATCTGTGGAGACTTGTCATAGAATCAGGGAAGTGATGTGTCAATGTAAGAAAAAACATGTACAGACTAGTCTCTCTCTAGGCTTCCTTATGGAATCAGTTCTTTTGGGTGTGTTTCCAGAAGTAGAGTTGCTGCATCATATGTTAGTTCTATGTTTAATTTTTTGAGGAACTGCCATGGTATTTTCTGTAGTGTTTTACATACTATTTTATATTTCAACCTACAGTGAACAAGAGTTCCAGTTTCTCCACATTCTCATCAACACCTCTTATTTAGCAATAACACTTAAAAAATGAAATGCTTTTATTATATCAGTGGTTCAGAATAACAGTCCTCTTATTTTTAATTTTTTTTTTTTTTTTACAGGAAAGCAATTCAGAGTTTTGTTTCTTAGCACAGTACGTACAAGACATACTTGTAAACATAAACAGACACCAATTAAAAAGAAAGAGCAACTGCTGGAAGATTCCACAGAGGACTTAGATTATGGTTTTCTGTCTAACTATAAGCTTCTCAATACTGCCATCACAAGAGCACAGTCCCTGGTTGCCGTGGTGGGTGATCCCATTGCTCTGTGCTCTATTGGAAGATGCAGGTAATTATGTTAGCGTTTGAGACATTAAAGGGGGAAATGTAGAGTAATTTGCATCCCTATGCACATATTTATATGACCTCCTGGCTAATTAAAATCAAGTTTAGTCTTAACTAATACCCAGTGGGAACACAAAAATATATTGCTTTGAGCCTATTCATTATGTATATAAAATTGTGTGTTCATTGAATCAGTCGTCATTCATAAGATGTTTCCTGAGTGCCTACTGTGTTCTAAGTACTCTTCTAGCCACTGAGGATACATCAGTGAACAAAACACAAAAATATCTGCCTTTGTGGGGCTTAACATTTTATTGGGAAGGAGAGGAACACCGACAGTAAGCAAAATAAAAACACTGTAGTATTTTATGTGGTAAGTTCAGTGGAAGAAATAGAACATCAAGGGGCATTAGAAGTGATGGGGTAGGGTGGGCGGTTTGTGATCTCACATGGTGTGTGTGGTCAGAGAAGGCCTCACTGAGAAGCTGACTCTGGAGTTGAGGGTATGAGCTACGCAGGCTCCTGGGGTAAGAGTGCTCCGGGACAAGGGACTGACCAGTGCGAGGGTCCTGAAGGTGGTTTTGTGTGTGTGCGTTATCTTTGATGAAGACTGAATTTCATACCCATACTCCCCTCTTTTTTCCTTCATTATTGTTTTAGCTTGTTTTTGATGAGTTTCCTTCTCATTTTCTCTCAAGGCTTCTCAGTGGAAATCTTTGTGTCTGGTTAATCCAGAGGATCTTAAAATTAGGGGGTTAAAAAGGGTTGTTACTTGTATTTGGAAAGAACTGTTAGTATTCCTTAGATTGTAGCCATAAGGAATGTTAAAATATCAACATAAATAAAAAATTTCTCTTTGTACACTTATGATTTATACTAGTTAGCAGGACTTTTAGTTGTATGAAGCCAGTAATATAAGACTTGGCCTACGCAGTGTTGAAAAACTATGTTACAAAAAAACATTTACAAAAAAACAGTTGAACAGAAATTTAGAATATTCTTTATGAAGGGCTTCCCTGGTGGCGCGGTGGTTGGGAGTCCGCCTGCCGATGCAGGGGACGCGGGTTCATGCCCCGGTCTGGGAGGATCCCACATGCCACGGAGCGGCTGGGCCCGTGAGCCATGGCCGCTGAGCCTGTGCGTCCGGAGCCTGTGCTCCGCAAATGGGAGAGGCCCACATACTGCAAGAAAAAAAAAAAGAATATTCTTTATGAAAAAGAAAGAAATACACGAGGGATTACTTAAAATTTTTTAAGTATTCTAGTACCTGTCAGAGTGAGTTCAGAAAAGTAGAAAGAGGTGCCGACGGTCTCAAATACACCTTGGGTAGTTATTTCTTCGTGATGTGTTAAAGTAGACAAAGTTGTTAGGAAGTGGCCCATTTAAACCGAGTTTTCTGTTGCAATATAGATATAGCAGCATTTTATTATCTGTTTTCCTGTCTCAGCAGGA